AAAGCCAAAGTATTCTGTTTTATATATAAATACCAGATAAATTACATGACTTTTGTTTCTTTCAGTAAATTCAAATCGAACCTGAAGATCGTTACAATATTCATCATCATTTAATTGAATCGTTATCGTTGCCTTCATAGCGTAAAGCCTATCAATTTAGCAAATAACGAGAGCCCAAGGGGGCCATGTCAAAATATTTCAGTCGCGTGTAATTAAAAACTAGATTTGAGTGTAGTCTGTTTTTGATCGACTAAGGAATCTGCCATCGTGGAGCCAATTCCACGAGTTCCTTATGCTTTTTTAGAAGTACTTGGCATTTTGATCAGTCTACTAAACTCCTGGCCTGAACAGGCTCATATCAACAACTCTTGAGTTTTGCAAATATACTTACGTTTGTGAATCTTTCAGACTTTTGCAACTCAAAAATCTCTGAACTGCTGTTTGAGTCGTTCCGTAGGCAGCTAATCCAGTTACAAGAGTGTCTATGACCACTGACCAAAATGTATGTCGAATCCGAACATCAGTTTCGAAACTTGAACAATTCAGATTTTGATTAAAGTTATATATGTAAGATTCATTGGATTCGCACGCTTAAATTATTATTAATTTTTAAATAAAAATGACTCAGGCCGTTTCGAGAAAACTTGAATGCCAATTACCTACTGGTAAATGGCAAAATGCAGTTTTCAATACGACGCTACGTGCGTTTGCGCTAGAGCTAGACCAATACATATATATCGATATATTGTAAAAAATACGCATACAAAAGTCAACATATCTATAGATGTTTTTACGTGATTTTCCTTGTGAATATAAGGTTGACCACACCATTTGGTTAACCAAGCCCAATCATGCACTGTTCTTGTAGGTCTATCGTCATGTTTAGGATATGATGAATTATCAATCCTGATTGAATCCTGGTACTGCTACCCATATTATATCCGGAGGTCCACTGGTCCCCAATTGTTATGAATGAAATGCTGCGTTACAATATCCCAGTCATTATTCTGTAACAATACCATTATATAAATTCACTTACTGTACAAAATCGATTCTTCCTCCTTCATAGGCGGCATTCCAAATTTCTGCAAATCCTCCATTTATCATAACGCCTCTAATAACGACAGCTATGACACCAATCACAATTACAAATGATTGAAACACATCCGTCCATACGATTCCTTTGAATCCGCCCTTAAATAATAAATAATCTTTTGGATTTGACTTAGTGATCAATGCCTGGGGATCATATTTTAAAATAAAAAAAATAGCTTTTTGTGTTAAATTGTTGTTGGAGTCATGTTGAAATTATTTGTTTCTTAACTACCAAACACTTTGAAACTTTTCGTATCCATTACATATAGTGAGTTATTATATGATTTCTCGGTACTCATTGCTTTGTCTCTATTTTTTAACATTTTTCAAACTTGGGGAAACTGCAAGGGGGCCTAAACCTAAAGTTAACAATAAGTTAAAAACGTTAATACGACTGGTCAAAAGATGTAATGACAAATATAAAATTGTTTAAAGTACTTACAAAAGTTGTATAAAGGATGCAAACAACGCCGCATGAGAGAATACTTCCCCAAATATTGAAACCAGACACTGGAAGGAAGAATTTTTGTAAAAGAATGATTGTAACAATGATATTTTTCCTTTTTCTGATATTCAAGGTATCACTCGTCTATTTCCTAAAGTGATATTCAATCTCTTTTAAACGGTTCAGATCACTGGCGGGATTAATATATATTTTTTCGATACCATATATCTTACGAATATATCTGACCAAATATAGTACCTACTTGTGTAGATATATGCATAATAATATAACATAAAAATCTTCATATAATTCATGAAATAATATCAAACCTGCTTCAAATGCAATAGCAGGTGCATACATGTTGACTCCAGAATATACGAGCGCACCCGACATAAACGTTAAAGTACCCACAATTTGTGTCACTCTGTTGAATCGCAATCTCAAGTACTAAAACAAAATTATCAAACTATTGTTTGTTATATCAGCCATGAGAACACAAATATACTTAGCAGACTCACGTCGTAGACGCTTGTGATTCCGGCTGCATAGTAAGTAGGCATGAAAATGTGCGCTGCAATTATCGGAGCAGTTATTGTTGCGATCAATCCCCTGAATAAAATGTACTCAGAAATTCATTTCTTCGAAAACTTCAATTTTTGGTACACTCGAGCCTATATTTTATCACTTTTAATGTTGGCTGTTGTATTAGCCGATAAAACTTACCAAGAAACCATCGACCCATATAAGTAAATTTCTGCGGGTACGGCGAGTAAATTGAGTGCAGATTCATATGTAACGCATAATGATATTGCAACCGGCAGCATCGACATGGATCTGTATAGGAAATGTAACAAATAAACAATGACAGAAAAACGATACACTCAAGTATGCTTCCAGTTATTGTTTGTCCATAAGTTAGCTTTTTACTTCACCCGTCGCAAAGTTTCTAAATATAAAATAAAAAAAAAATCACTACAATCCGATAGTTGCTTATCAAAAGTGTGTTTGACTAATCATCTCTAGAAAACAAGGATCATTTGCTTTCGCTAAATGTCGGTACACAACCATTGCTATTTGCCGTACGGCGTACACTAAAACATGTAATATATTTGGAAAATGAAATGTTATTAAAAATCAGTATACTCGAGTACAACTATCATCACAATAATTACATATATAATATTTATATAATAAAATAGTCTATAGATATTAGCATATTATATCAGTAATGCAAAAAAATGAGTTTCGTAAATATGTTGCTGTTTTCAACTCTTGAACTCTTGAAAAATGTCTCTTACTTTGTAGCATTCAGATAATCATTAGCAGAATTACTGTTGCGTTCACGATATGCGTAATATATTCCGATAGCAAATGATAAAAGCAACATCAATCCAAACACGACGTAATCGACCGCAGAAAAGGTAAAACCAGATTCCGACATATTTTTCTATCTTATCTGATGTCTACTATTCTCAAAACGGCAACTGTGGATTACAATTTATTTCTGTATTCAAGATCCAGTGAGATATTTACAAAACAAAAATCTATAACAATCAAAATATTGTAATTGTCGTGTTGTTAAAATGCAAAATTATTACGAGTGCATGTGATCTTTTTATCAGGTCTGTAGTCTGTACATCACTAGCCGTTTTAGAGTACTTTCAGTGTGTTACTAGTGATATATAACAGATTAAAATGTGTCCTTCTTCAATTGAATTTCAATATCCTACATTGGTATGAAACCAAAAAAAAAAATAGCCATTATGCACAATACATATACATTTGCGCATGTAGTCTGCAACTCTCATATTGTTTCCACCTGTTTCGTTTACCTATTTGAGGTGTTAGTGGTAAACATTTACGGCAAGAAACCGTCTTTACTCGGTACTACTTCAGAACCTTGATTGACTAACTAATTTATTTAAGAAGGCCCCGCTAACACGAACAGCAGTTTTGCCAGCTTGTTGTAATATATGCTATTTTGTTGTTGTTCTGAAAAACTCTTTGCCGTCGTTGTAACAAGTTTTGATCGGATTTTTTTGTGCAAACTATTTATTCGTATTTTAAATATGTAATGAAACATTCGACGTATATTGACTCATACAGTTTATTGTGCTTTGATCCAATGGGTATGTAATATTTTTATTCATTGCCCCGATTCGCAAAATTAATTTAAAAATATTATGAATTGGCACAATTGAATTATTATTTATTGCTGCAAACATAAAATTGAGGAAGGTCAATATGAAAACCTACATCAAAGCAACCAAACAGTGTATATACCAAAACACCAAGTATAATGTACTATTACATAAAACATATGATATTTCCAAATTGCTTTGCAAATCTTTTGTTGATGGGCATATATAAAACTTTGAAACAATATTGTCATTGTATCATTGACGTGATCTTTTTCATTGCTATGAAAGTCAGGAAGATAATTAAACCTTATACCTAATATGTTAAATCCGCGGATATTGAGAATAGGTATACAACAGAATTTCCCTTCACGTGCTATAGTTATATTCGACTCAAACACACAATTTCTACAATGTGCTTTAGCGCAAACGCTTGTTGTGTGATCGTTTGCCCATTCAAGTGGAGAAACGATATTTTTGAGCCATCCGTTATCGATCCAATTTTGGACCACATTGTGTGTTGCCCAAACAAGTTACTTACTAACCGTATAGTTCTAATAAATTGACCTTCTGATCCGAGTGAGTATTCGGCATTTATATTGTGTTATATATATATATATATATGTCAGTTATTCATTGATAAACGTGGTTCAACTATCAGTAATGAAATATAGTTGAATTCAGTTCAAAAGAAGATATTTACTGTTTGGTTTGTGCGTGGAAATAACTTTTTGTGTGAAATGAGAATTTCAAATTTAAAGCTGTCGTAAATATTCATAGAAAGAGAATGATCATTTCTATTTCGACGAGTATGCAACGATAACATATAAGTTTAACGGAAGGCATTTTACGAAAACGTGAGTTGCTGATGGTGATGAGTTTTCTAACACTATTGATATTATCGATGGATACACTGAGCAAACAATTTTTGTTTTTGGCTTATTATTATTATTATTTTCAAAACTGACGAAATTGAAATCATTTTTGTATTTAATCTTGGTTTTGTGGAAATGAGGAATTTCAATTTAATTTTTTTCTAGATTTTCAACTATAGACCAAGTCGACTTCGCGGATAAGTCCCCTATGTAGTCGCATATCGTTCGGTCATTGTACTGTCATTGGTGTCGGGCGTTCACACTCAAATATGCCACGATAGCATGTGAAAAAAGCTGATTTTAAATGCAACATTGACTACAATATTTGGCTAGGACCAGCCATTTGATGTTGTTGTAGTGTGAAACTGATGTGTGTCACAACTAGTACTATTTCATCAATCTTTAACCACGGAAAATTTTGATGCTCAAATATATGCATTTAACGTTTAACTAAGACGTTTAGCAATGCAACAAGAGTATTGCGTGGAAGTGCATTTATGAGCCAGGTTAACCAATTTGCAACATATGGAGAGATATTTCACCGCTGTACATTTAGAAATCTTATTCAATAATACCCAGCACGACATTTTTTATCAAACGGTGAACACGTATGCAAAAACATAAAAAATATATATTGATATTGATATTCAACAATGGAACAGAATAAATGAAACTATGGGAATTTGTCATGATTCGAATAAAACAGTCTGTTGCCTCTGAACCATCCATTGTATAAAAATCAATCCCCGATATCATTCATATTAGAGATATCAATTGCATTTTTATAAACTAGTAATAGTTTAGTCTTGAATTAAATCTTATATTTTTTAACCATAAGATTGTATATTTTGTTACTTACAGACAAAAACATGCAACGAAGATTTGTGCTCACTCTATACTATGGTTATGGCTTGCGATGTGCGGGTTTTGGTATCATTCCTACCCAGTGCTCTGTGGATGCATTCAGAAAGTTTCTGCTAAAGAATGTTAATTGGGACGAAATAGGACAAGATGAAAGTAAGTGTATTACGGTTTCTTTTGATGCAATGTTAAAAGTTAACTTTATCGAATGTAAAAAATACAGGACAAGAGATAATACGATAAATATATCAAAAACAATGTATGATAAATGTATAAACTTATAATAAGTTATAAAATAGGACAAGAATATTATATGAAAAATAAATAATGTCAATTTAAAATATTACTGCTATTGTTTCCAGAAATATTTGCGTCACCAGGAAACGGACTAAGAAATGAAAATCAAACAAATCAAATCACCAGGAATGAACATAAAACTAGTGAATATTGAAAGATATAACGATAAGCCTTAGAGAGAACATCACTTCAAGCTAAAATAGTTTTTAAACTGCTTCTTTAATTTGGTTTTTAACCACGTAATCTTTCCCACTGATTATGTTCAGCAGTTTGAAAACGTGTGGACCTTTTCCGTATTCTGTTATGAATCTTTAAACTATTTCCTTGTATCAATGGCAGTTTTCTAGATTTCGATTCATATTTGTATTGAGATATTTCTTTATTCTATTATATAAATATTATATATACTAGCTCACATATTGCTACATGATATATATCCATAAAACGATGAGATTGCAAGCTTAAAAAATTGAGGCTGTGCTTTGTTTTCAACACATATATTTAACCTGGAATTTTGTTTGTGCTATTTAATCATCATTTTTACATGTTCGATTTGATTTTTGGAAAATATGAAGAAATAAAAAACTAACATAGTTGCGGCCATGACGTAATCATGTTGGCAATTACCATGAATATCGTGTAAATTAGTGGTCGGCAAACTTTATGTACCACTGGTCCAAATGTATATACACATTTCCGGAAGTGTACGGGCCGCAATCATTTCCAATCATTATCCTCAATGTGAAGCGTGGTGCCCACGGACGGCTGTTCACCAACCCCCGGTGCAAATATTGTCTATCCCGATATATCGGTACATCGCTAATTCAAATTCTCTAGATATATTGTCGATTGGACTTGTTTTCTCGCAGTATAAAAGTTATTTAGAGCATGAAGTTGGTTGTTTTTTGACACAAGGGACGAACCAGAAAATGCGCTCGTTTGGTTAAACAGGGCTCTCGGGCTAACTGGATTATTTGATTTTCTATAACCACCAATCGGTATGGTATGTCTTATTCTCGATCATCGGACATTTTGTGTAGTGATTTTGGTTTGATCTGTGTACGCATCTTATGATCTGCAAAAATCATTCTCAATATATTTAAGTAAATTGAGCCACAAATTGCAAAAACAAGCTCAAAACTATATCGGTGCCAGATAGGTAGGTTTATGTCGTTCTTTTTTCATTTTACATGGTGGTTTCAAACTTACCTATAATCTATTCTCATTACTCTAAGTCGCCATCTTACGGCTTGATGAAAAGCATAGCGACGTGCGCTTTTAATAGACGGGTTTTTGATTGTCGTTCGATCTGTCATTATACATTTTGAATAATATTTATCAAAATTTACTATTTTATTACCATAATAACAAGTTCAGATAAAAAGGTGAAATAGGTAATTATCTTACACGAACCTAAAAAAGCTTTTTGTAAGACCTAGTCATCCTAAAAACGCATAAATGAATAATTTTCAGCCGATTAGTCCAAGAAAGCAGTTAAATTTTTCAAAAAGTGGATTTTAGTAGTGCTGAGAATCACCACCAAAATACACTGAAAAATACATTATTTCATAGCCTAAATGAGAGGAGATATAACGCGAAAAACGAAAGCCGTCATTATCTGACGTAAATATATATCTCACAGAAGCAAGACCAAGACTAAAAATAAATCTAATATACTTCGAATTAAACAACAACTAAAAATAAATCTAATCTATCTCGAATTAAACTACAGAGACAGAGCTTAAGATGGCCAACCGGCGTGTGATATTCTATCCAACGTTAATTGACTGAACTAACTTATTCAAATACATAGGCTAGCCTGCTGATTCTGTAAGCAAAGTTCAAAATATACAACGGGACATTTTTCGCACGACTTTCAATCTGTAAGAATAGACAGCACAGTCTACCACATAAGAGCGGTGATAGAATTTATCTAACCGGACCAAAAACAACCCCTCTAAAGATAATAAAGGAGAAACAATGCAGGCACATCGCCGTGGTCACCAATTCCCACGCAAATCAAGTTATCGCAATGAAGCGTGAAGCTGCACAAGCTCGTAACTCGAATACCTTTGTTTCTTTTATTAATGTGGGCGTGGCTTTTCATGCTAGTTTCATCCATCTGAACAGACATCACATTTCCAGACATGTGACCAAACATCTGTTCAGCCACAACAGTGGAATGCCGTTGGTGAAGTTCTTTACCTGGTGGCCGGCCGGGTCGGAAAAGAAGGTAGAAAAAGATGGTACCGTCCAATCAGATAGGGGATTCGGGAGTTTATTTGTCGTTTTAGCAGAATATTATTATATAGTATGAATGGCAACCCTTTCTGGCAACACTGCAGTTCAGCATTTCATTTATCCAAACCATCTTGTGGATGTAGCCCAATGGATAATGGTTAAGATAGAAAAGCAACACAAAGTGAGGTCAGTGAGGATCAAATATGAGGTCATATTAAAATTGCAATTGAGTGCTCTGCGCCTTTATTTATAATTCTTTTGGACGTTGTTTACATTACTCTGTCAATGATAATATTTGCGTTTAGCTTACTCTGATGAATTGAACGGAAATTTATTTGCGTGCTTGTCATGATGAGAAACGCGAAATAAAATGATTATGAAATTCCAGAAAAGTAAATAAAAGTCAATGCCGAAGTCAATAAGCTGGTAACGGCTAAAACAGATGAAGCGCTATTATTATCGCTATTATGCACTTCTGCATTAAGCAATGGTTTGGATTTGGTGGATTAAAACGGTTCGTCCAACTTAGAGACATAATGGCGTTTTCGTGTAAATCAACAATGTTTTTCAAAATTGCAGAAACGTTCTCAATAATATTGATGAATGTTTATCCTTAAAATGTAATTTGTCTCGTCATGAGATCCTTCGCTACGCCACCTTATAAAATTACAATGTTCACATCCGAAGCTTGATCTCACTATAATATTTCTGAGCAAATGTATTTCATGTGCAAAAATACTTTACCTATATATCATCTTTTATACTTACGATTACATTGAAATTATCTGTTTATGTCGCATGCAAGTTTGTATCTCATTTCGCAGAGATATCTGGCAACTATTATAATCACGTTGTTGTCACGCTTTACTGAGTATTAGAATGAGATTGATTCGCATTGCAGTCCTAGTCAGTGCGTCATTAGGAAAAGATGGTTGTAACTTATTTTAAGAAAAAGGATTTATAGCAAAAACGAGTCTGATTAATATTCTATCTCGGTTTAATTATACATCTCGTCGTGAAATTGAAGTAACTATCCTAGTTAGAGGTAGCAGCATTTTCAACAAGTTAACATTGCCCATCCGCAACTAAAACATGTTTCGGGATAGTACACTTCAATACTACGTTGTGTGGAATCGTGAAAGTTAGTGGTAGCAGCATTTTTATCAAGTTACCATTGCGCATCCGCAACTAAAGCATGTTTCGGGAAAGTCCACCTCTATATCTTGAAATTTAATGTAACAGCATTTGCAACAAGTTAACACTGCGCGTCCGGGAATAAAACATGTTTCGGAATAATCCACTCCAGTACCACATTGTACTGGCATCTTGTATGTACCATACCATTCCATTCATAGTATATTGATCAATTTGCTGTAGCGATGTCGTTTTCATTATAAAGAAATACTGTACTAAGAAAGCTCACCATTTTAGTGGCCATTGTACAATGGGACGCAATGTACAATGTTTCAATTCTTCGCTTTCAATTTCATTCTGTGAAAAACGATGAATGTTGAGATGTCGAAACAATGTTGAAGTTTTAACTGAGACTCACCTCACTGTGAAGTAACCCACTCTGAGTAAATATACCCACCCACCTATTCGTCATTTTTTTTATTCTAACTCAATGTTTCCCAACTTCAAGGTCGTGGACTCAAATCCGACTTCGTGGAAGGGAACTTTACTCACACTGTAAAGCGTTAGCCGCTTCTTTTTCCGTTTCTTGTAAAATTGCACGAGCAAATGCGCAAATGTTAAGCGATAAATGGTGTTTTATAGTTTTCCTGTAAACAAATCTCGATAAATTGGAAGTGGAATTTCCTCTCGAACTCTTTTGAAACCACGAATATTTGCCGCAGGTTTATTAGCCTTTTTCGTTATTCCTGCTCACGCGCATGAATTTCATAAAATTGAGTACCAGAAATCGCATCAGCCCTAATATAAATGCTAAAATTACACATGACCAACCAAGAATTATAAGACTTGCGAAAAAGATGTGGAACGCAAGTTTATAATTGATTGAGATATTTATTAAATGTCTATGACCTACGGTTACATATTTTGACCCAATATTCAAAAAAGATTAGCCATCCTTAAAGACAGCCACTCGTGTACTTTTTGTATTGATTGAAGTCTGCATAATATTAGTTTTTAAATCATAGTAAAAATTAGATTCTTATTTCTAAAACAGATCTAGTAATTGAAATACGGACGAGAAACGGCTGAAAAATGAGGATCACAATGTTCTGATGAAGTAAATATATTGTGAGTGCTTTAATAGTCAACTATGAAAAATGAGGTTTGATTATGAAGTGTAAATATGTGCAGCTTTTAGTGAGAGGCTGCTGAAAATGGAAAAGTGGTATTCAATGATACAAGGAAAAATAATCATTAAATAAGAGTAGCTTGTATATTTATTTCTTCATGGATATCTAACGGTTTTTGACGTTTTCATTTGTTTACAAACTTCTCATTTTTACGGCGTGTTCAGCATCCTCAAAACGGACGTCTGCATTTACGTTGTCAGGATCAATTTTCACTGAATAAACTCCAATACATTCATCCTACAATATGATATAATAGAAATTTAAATATTTGTAGAGACTTCCGATCCAAATATATTTCGCGTAGAGAACGTTATGAATTTAGCGTTATTAAATAATGACAGACGTTGGCAGTTTGTTACGCTTCATTATGTGATTTCTTAGTAATATATTGGTATTTGTGCAGTTTCACTGTTGACCAGAAGCTTTAAAAATGCTCGTGCTTGGTTCAGTACTACATGCTGATTTGACATCAAATTGTATTATATACATATTTAGCCCCGAAGTTGGTTGACGTTGACTGCTCTCTATCAGCAGTAAATGTAATGCCCTGTCTGTAAAACTAATTTAGGAGTTTTTGTTAACTTGTAAGTTATATTAATAGACAGCATACGTAATTACCTGGATTTTATACAGTACTTACTATTTTATTTTTTTCTGGTTTTGTTTCAAACTCATCATCCTTGTCATCTTCACTCCATTCAATTCCAAATCGTAGAAACTTTCTGACTTTTTCCGGAATCCATATTCTGAAAATCCAGAGATCGAAAAGTGGTCTCAATAACTTCGGATTTACCTTGTGGCGATCTCTCCATCCACCTGAATATAGAACAAAATTACTGAAGTTGTTATACTGTACACAGTTCATTGACCAAACGATGTAACCTTTAAGGCGCGACGGTTCAGTTTATCTTCTGAACACCACGCCGATGTTTGGTATGAAATAATTAAAATTCACTTGTACATGTTTTCGCGAGACCAAGGTTTGTTTAATCGGCCGTAAGTAGGCCAATCAAATAAATTCCAAGCCTCTTAACATGTGATATATTTGATGAAAGTTTTATATAAACTGTATGAAAGTATTTTTCATTCACCTGTTAGAAGACTGATGATACAGCCACTGATTATGCAACCGATAAGACCAACAACGCCGATGTATCGATAAGACAATGTATAAAACGGGACATCATCATCATAAATTTCTGGAACTGTAGTTGCTTCTACTGGTTTTGTCCAGTAACCAAGAGTAGTGTAGTTAGTTACTATCTCCTCTCCACTGCATGTAAAATTGCATTGATCTGCAGTAAGTTCCATTTTTCTCACAAAATCGTTTGACTGTGTTATGCTTTTTCTCCCGATATAAAGCCATGCCGCTGAAGCAATACCACATATCACACCACCAGAAGCTCCCTGTTATGGAATTGACTTTTTAGTGTTTTCAATTCTAAATATATTTTAATGCATTTTATATAGGTAAGTTTTGGAAGTTATGAACATATCTTACTCCCAATTTTAGTTTAGATTTAATCCATACCTTCCAGTTTGCGAAGGGAAATTGCATTCCCAGAGTAAATAATCCTAGTAGGGGTCCCAGGGTGATTGTTGCTAAACTGAGAGCTGCTTCATATAATTCAGATGCATTTGTCATTAATAACGCGATTCCGATGCAAACAACTCCGAAGAAAAATACCATTCCTGAAGTTAAAAATTAAAACAATTTATTCACCTCATAAATGTTTGCGTGGGGGATATTCCTTACAGATTTTCGTTATTTGAAAAAAGTTATTTTCATAAAATTGACGGTTATCAACCCATTATTTTTTTTTTGAAGTTTCGTTGTCAATATTAGATAAATTCAGGGCCAGATTTATCATTACGCAAGGTAGGCTGTCGCATCAAGTCTTAGGGTACTCGACATTCAATTTTGAACTATATTCAGGTAATAATAATTTTCCAAATATTTACCCTTCACAACGCGAAAAAAATAAATACGGCCAAATAAATCATTTGGCCCAATTCCAAACACTCCCTTTAACATTCGAAACATACAAATCTAATTTAGACTAAATAACCGTTTTGAATGTGAGAATGCCTTAATACTTTTGCAAAAGATGTCAAAATACCGATATAGAGCTTTGACAATTGGCCTATGCAACAACGAATCTAAGAATTATTATTTCCTCACTATTTGGGATTTTTTTATAGTAAAAGCATTTATTACAAAAAATGGAATGACAATTTAAATTATCAGTATTTTAAAAACTGTGGAATGTTTATTTTGACGTCATGATGGATTTTTTACGACCTCACTGTTGAAGAGGGCCCTCACAAATGGCATAGCCTATGGCCTCCGATCTTCTAAATCCGGCCCGGAATTAACTAGATGTAAAATTACTATATTATTATTCACGATGTAGGATTCACCTTTGGAGATATAAAATTGAGTTCGCTCGTTAAATTTCGTATAAGGTGTAACAATATTATCCATTGCTGCTGATGCCAATGCATTCATCGTTGATGAAATCGTACTGCAAAACGAAATACCCTTTCAATATTTAAAGCCCCAAGAAGCATAATAGTTTGCGTTAAAAACTGAATACACAGCATTCTGATGAAATAGAGGTACTCCTGAAGTATGCGCACCAAGATGTCGCACAACCTGAACCCTAACCTTGTACAGTTGTACACAACCTGAATTCAGGTTGTGCGCCATCTTGGGCGCATACTTCAGCAGGTCCGAAATAGGTATATGCCGGATTTACAAGAACTAAAAAAAAGAGCTAACGAATTTGAATACATGAGTATTTGAATGAAATTCATTCAAGAATATTTTCCCAATTAATGAATCCCCTTACCGCTGAAATCTGGTGACCGTACATTTGAACCCATGTGTATATCCACGGGTTCAATCTATATGCGGGTGCTAAAACCCATGGGTTAGGGTTAGTGTGGGTTCAACTATCCGGAAGAAAAAAAAAATTCCAGGTGCAATAGCATACAGGTTCAATTGCCATGGGTTCAAATGTACGTGGGTTCAAATGTAATGGAACCCTGAAATCTATATGTGACCATAATTTGTTGCACGCCATGTGTGGATTTTTGCAACTAAGGCATAACTTACCTTAATGTCGCAGCAAAAATGCAGGCGAGAAACAGCCCGGGTATCCCGTAGTAGTTATGATATACATCCATTACAAAGAGTGGGATAATCTGTTAATATGAAATTGTTTATTTTATTCCTGCGGAAACTATTATGCAAAGGGTGTTTCCCCTGTCCCTCTACTTCTTTTTCTACGTAACATTGGCTAATCAGCAAGATGTTCACGATCACGTAACAATCTAAATCTTTGCAGTCGCTCAAACATTTCTCCTCTCAGACAGATTTTCAGATTTGATTGTGAGCATGATCATGTTTCCGAAATTTCCGTAAAGATGGTCATTTGTTTCTTCGTTACATTTTAGTTTAGAATTAGATGCAGTAATGAAACCAAGGATAAAATATGCTAGAATTACCAGCATTTTTAAATAGCAAGCAGTTCCGAACAGTACGAATCGAAATGATGGTCATAACCGATGTGTACACGTCAACTAGCGAAAATACTCTCGAAATAGGAGTATAATTTGTTTGCAGAGGTTAAGTATAGAAAGAGAGAGTCTTTCCGGGGTCAAAATTCGGAAAATCGTTCTTTATACAATAATTACATAAGGGTTATTGAACACGAAGTAAACCTATAGATCATTTTGGTATAATGTTGTTCGAATGCTTTTTCTTGTTGTTAAGACAAAATCGCTTTCTCTTTAATTGCTGAAACAATAGCTCCGAAATTTCCAGTAGTTAAAGACTTTTGTTGTCGACAGAAGCCTATTACTTTTAAATATTTTGTAAATTTTTGTAGGATTTATGGGATTCGTTTTTTTTGTGTGTGTGTGTGTGATGACGTAAACAAAATATAAAAGAGTTTGCACCGTGTGGCGGCTCCGCGTTCGCGTTTGTTACGATGTGGCGTGGTCAGTCGAAGTCGCGGCGACTATACGCTTTCGTACCGATATTACTCTATTTGTAGCAACTATAAATAGAGTAACGTTAGATTCACAGCGAAGCCTATAGCATTTCAATATCAGGTTACAATGGAGTTTGGAAATCTTTGACTAAATTTAACTTTGTATCACAAAATAGATACAATTTTATATTATCTCAATGCTCATGTCAAATGATTTAACACGTTCAGTTTTCAGAAATATGAACGGAAATTATGACGGGGTATTAGGCAGGCAGATAATACAATTTGTATTTGAAGCATGTTAACGGCGTTCATCACAAACAATTTCTGAATTGCCATTTCAAAAAGTATTTCAGCGAATTGCTAAATTTCAGGATATGGTCAATTTAAGTTTTAGAATTCACAATCAGAATGAATAAATACGCAACAAATGATTCCAGTAAAAAAATACAAACCTGATCAATTTTGCTGATACATCCTCGCTCAAGCGGATCACATCCTCTGTAATGCGAGTAAGCAACGATTGCCATTAGGAACGATATTCCATACAATAAAATATGGCCAACGACGTTTACCACTGCAGTCCTGAAGTTGATGTTTTTACGAATTAGTCATATATTTTAGCTTGACTATATTAAAAACTCCAAATGTATGAAACGGTAAAATATGCCTGTTTCAAGTAAGTTAACATAGTACAATGAATTGATTCACGGAAAACAGAGTTTACGAACCCAAAAACCAATCAAATATTTATTTATTGGTCTGCATATTTCGGGATATCTATATTTTAACTTACTTTTAAAATTAGTATCTTATATTATAGCGTAGCTGAATGATGCATGTTTATATATATAACAGATATAGGTGACTTTTGTTGCTTTCAGTAAAATAAAATTAGATATGAATATCGTTACAATAACCATCACCATTTCATTGCAACTTACCAAACTATAAGAGTCGTAAGGACTAAATATCAGCGATCCTCGAGTAGATTATTCTACTGAGATAGATTTTTTTTTATTGGAGTTAATTTATAGTTAAGTTCATGTCGTTATTCCTGATCAGGTCTGATTCCAAACGAGTACGGAATTAGCCTTCGTGGATTCGATTCAACAAGTTTCGTTCAATTTTGGTGGAGTAATTGCCTGAACTGGCGTTTATAACTAAATTATTACTGGTTTTTAAATGAACTTACATTTGTGATTCTTTCAGACTTTTGCAACTCAAAAATCTCTGAACGGCTGTTTGAGACGTTCCGTACGCAGCTGTGGCGGTTATGAGAGAGCCTAACGCCACTGACCAAAATGTATGTCGAATCCGAACATCAGTTTCGAAACTTGAACAATAAATAATATAACAATATTTTTGTTTAATTTTGATCATGATTCAGATATGCATTTTCTATTGAATTAATAGTTCGTACAAGGCGGGGATTCCCATGGGAAACATCCCGTGGGATGGGAAACACTTTAACCGTTAACCGGGTAAAATTAATCTTACAATTATTCACTGATATAGACATAGTTTCATGGTTGCTCTACTGCGTGAGATATGCAGCGTACTTCGGACATATGAAAGTATTTTAGTAAAACCGACTCCGTTACTAAAGGTCATTTGTGAAACAAAACTTTCAGTGTTAGACACACTTGCTATAAAATCATGAATTATATTTTCTGACCGGAAACTGATTCCGAACCTATCTTGGTCAAATTTTCATGATCAGCAATAAAGTACTAGTTTTTTTTTACATTTTTGGATGCTTATCGATACAGTTAGGGATATTCTTTTAAATTAAACGATGACGGAACTGAATTTGCGATGAACTAATCATTGTTGAAGAAATTGTACAGTATAAAGGTGATATGTACCTAAGAGGTCAGTTAAAGGTCGGAATAAATCGTAACCGTTAACCATATATAATCGGTTACCGTTAACCATTCCAGCCCTAGAAAGCACGCAGCATTTGTATTTCCCATGGGCCAGAAGCTATGTCATGCCAACTAGATTACGTCAGATTTATTCTTCAGTCTTTATATTTTTTTAACTTTTACATGTTTTTTACTCTCCCTTCTACTTATTTGTTTTGTTTCATGTGTAAAAAATCACGGCAACCAAATTCACAACCATTAGATTATTGGAAAAATGAACACAGGTATCCACTTCTAAAAGCTGGTGCAAAAATTGTTTTGGCCATTGCCCATACCAGTGCCATAGGCAGTAGTAGAGCGTTTATTCAGTGCGCCGGATTGTTGTTTAGTTATAAAAACGGATGTTACCTGCTACTGTTATAAACTATGTGTGCATGAGAATTGTATGTAACATAAAAAAAATGATTAAATAATTACACAATTTAACTGAATTATTAGAAACAGTCGATAAGCAGGTAATTTATAATTTGCTGAATGGGCAGAGTGACTCAGAAATAGAATAAGAGTGCCAAAGGGATACTTAATTGTCATAATTAGAAAATACTTCTGAATTTTAAAGTTAAGAAAGTCAATAAATTTTTTATGTCTTTTTGTAGAGACCGGTTCTCTACCAGTGGGCCATGGCCAACTGCTGGGCTACAGAGCTATTTTCAGCTGGGCCACAAATCCATTAAAAATTGTTAGACTTATTAATAAATTAATTAAATTTGGTTGTATTAGAAATGAATGATAATGCTGTTTATAGCTAATAAATAGTATATTTTTCATTTTCAAAGTGGAAGGAATTATTTTAGCAAAAAGATTTTTTGTAGTTTTTCCCTTGCATAATGAACGTTAATGGGCCACAGTGCATGGGACGTGAGCCACGAAAGAATAAAGGTTGAGAACCACTGTAGTAGACACTCCGAAATTTTCATAAATTTAATAAGTTTTATTGAATTGTATTCCAATGAGAATTCCATGGGATAGGACAGACATAAATTGCTGAGGGATGGGAGAGAAAAATATGTCTCGTAGACAAGCCTGGTTTGTACGCACAATGAATTATTATTGATTTTTAATTAAGATTATTTTGGCCGGTTCGGAAAACGTAATTGACAATTACCTCCCAGTAAATGTAGGTAACTGTCATATACAATGTGGCCGCGCAATGAGGTTTGGCCCTTGCTTTATTCATACCACAATATATCGAGAAAAGACACATACAATAGGTCAACATACTTCTAGATGATATTCATTATACAGCTTGCAATGTTTTCAGAGAAATGAATAAATACGAAGATAAGTATCCGTCCACAACTGGTATGACTGAAACGCTGCATTATGATATTTTAATCATTATACTGTAACTGCATTATTATATATAAATTCACTCACTGCACAAAATCGATTCTTCCTCCTTCATAAGCGGCGTTCCAAATTTCTGCAAATCCTCCATTTATCATAACGCCTCTAATAACGACAGCTATGACACCAATTACAATTACGAATGATTGAAACACATCCGTCCATACGATTCCTTTGAATCCACCCTAAAATAATTATATTCTGGATAATTGAACGTAAAAAACTGACGGCAGAGTATCAGATAATAATAGGCAAGAAAAATGTTTTGACAAACGAGCATATTTGTCTAATTACGTGTTCTGTCAAAATGACAACTTCTTTATATATATATATATAATATATATATATATATAAAATGGATAACTAAAAATAGAAGTAATTTATTTGATTTAATGTAGTGATTAATGTTTGGAAATCGTATAGTATGAAAAATGGTTTAATTGGAATCATGTTTTCATTGTTCTTCTCTTGACTACTGAACGTTTTTATTTTTCGTACCCATAAATCAAAGAGTCTGATCAACATCTATTACTTAGTTAGTTTTTATAAGATATTCTGAGTCCTTTTTCTTTGCCTCTATATTTTTAAAATTGCGCTCTTTTCAAACTCGAGTACACAGCAAATAGAACCTTAATCCGACAAAAGTTGCAGTAACAAATGTAAAATTGTTTAAAATACTTACAAAAGTTGTGTAAAGAACGCAAACAACGCCGCATGAGAGAATACTTCCCCAAATATTGAAACCAGATACTGGAAGGAAGAATTTTTGTAAATGTAACAATATTATTAATTTTTTTGAACTGATATTCAATCTATTTTAAACGCTTCAAATCACTTGTCTTTGGTTTCAGGCTGCATGTTCGGTAATGGTTGCCCATGTCGCGCACTTTAAAATTTTATTCGGAGGTGCTGTTTCCGAGTAAACATTACGTGCTATTGACATATCCCGACTGCAGAAAGTACATTTCTGCAGAAAACCAAGTGAGTGATTGGCAATTTTGCGCAACAGATGCAGTCTTTATCAAACGCCGAGGAGGTCATTTTGAACATATTTTATACAGAACATAACTTTTGTTCCGAGCGTCCTGAATTTCTGAAATTTTCGTGTATACATACAAACACGAGTTTAAATGCAAACAAAATTGAATAAACACATCCATTTTCATTGAAGTAATTAATAAATTTATGGATTCTGTTCTTGTTGGGTCACCTTATGTCTTACGATTTAATTTGACCTATTGGTTCTTATACTTAACGTATAGGTATACACATAGAAATGTAAGACACTCATCTTCACAAAGTTCATGAAATAAAATCAAACCTGCTTCAAATGCAATAGCAGGTGCATACATGTTGACTCCAGAATATACGAGCGCGCCCGACATGTACGTTAAAGTACCCAAAATTTGTGTCACTCTGTTGAATCGCAATCTCAAGTACTAAAACAAAGTGATCAAACTGTTATTTTTATATCACCAACGAGTATAAAGTAACGCAAACAATATATTTTGCGTACTTACGTCATATACACTTGTTATCCCCGCTGCATGGTAAGTAGGCACGAAAATGTGCGCTGCTAGTAACGGCGAAGCTATTGTTGCGATCAATCCCCTGAAATAGAGTTTACTCTGAAATTTGTTTCTTGGAAAAATTTGTATTACTTTTTCTTCTATATTTTATCGCGTTTTTCTTCTATATCATACTCCGGTATTAACGATAAAACTTACCAAGAAACCATCGACCCATATAAGTAAATTTCCGCGGGTATGGAGAGTAAATTGAGGGAAGATTCATATGTAACGCATAATGATATTGCAACCGGCAGCATCGACATAGATCTGTATAAGAAATATAACAAATAAACAACGACAGAAAAAATAGATTTTTGAGTTATAGATCTGAGAGACAACTTTTCAGTTTATTAATTGAATGAATCTAATACTACTAGTTGTTGTTCGGAAGTTGTTTGTGTCAAAGTGTGTTTGGAAAATACAATTTGACTAAAATCGTCTAGAATACAAAATCTTTTTCATCTAGCTTTGTTGAATGCCATTAATTTCGTTCTACATCCATTGTTATCTGTATCCGCCTCTAAATCACTTGATATATTTTTCTTAATATTCAATCTAAAAAGAAGTATGCTCGAATACGATTGTTAAAAGAATAAAATGTAACATTGACTATAGATTATCAAATTATATCAGTAGACGAGTATATGGAAAATATTAATTTAACAAGATAATATATTTCCTTGTGGTAAACTCTTAAAAAAGTGCCTCTTACTTTGTAGCATTCAGATAATCATTAGCAGAATTACTGTTGCGTTCACGATATGCATAATATATTCCGATAGCAAATGATAAAAACAACATCAATCCAAACACGACGTAATCCACCACAGAGAAGGTAAAACCAGATTCCGACATACTTTTCTTTATAGGATCAGGATGTATCCGTATACAATCTACAAAATTATATCTTCAGATTAAGTTTTCTTTTTGTATTTCAAAAATATTTAGAAATAAAAAAATACGATACCACTTAAAATAATATTCCATAATCTAAAATATGATTACATCCCAAAATCGTTTTGTCACTCGTTACTCTATTAGTGAGCCTATTTCGAAAATGAGGGTTTGTAATCGTCGTTCGTTCTCCACTGTTTGCCGTTTAGGTACACGTCAACGTATTCGACCATTTTACTATTTCTCTCTTTTCCTCAAACTGATATGTAAATAAAGAAAATCGAGGTCGTAGATAAAAGAGGGAAAATGTTGAAATTAAAAAAAATATTCAAGAGAGTATACGTTTTCAAGCTGGTTTTCTAATCAAAGTTTGAAGCGATATTCACCAAAACATTTCCATAAAAAGTTAGAGGAGTTATTAATGAAAAAATATATGGTTTTTCCAACACAGTAGTGTAGCCTTTCTGGGTCGAAGTCCTCGGAATGTGACCGTTGCTATAGAAACTATTGCTCCTATCTTGTTGCTAGGACTTGAGAGCTGCTTACTATTTTATTACATAATTCCGCTTCCGGTCAATATTGAATTTTTTTCTGTTTGAGTGTTTGAATTTCATTTCATCTTACTTGTCAGCTTTACAACTATTTTGATTGATCCCTCAGTTGAAATATCAATATTGAAATAAAAATTAGGAAGTTAAAAAGGACATGTTTACTTTGTGGATTGTGCTTGGAAATGAGGTTTTTTGTAAATATGAAATTGATGTTTGCCATTTAACCGCTTTTGTAGATATTGGTGAAAAGCAAATAGTCATTTCTATTTCGACGAATAGTAGCTTACAATGACAGCGTAAGTTCAATAGAGGGCATATTCTTTTCCAAAATGAAAACGTATTACACAGAAATATATAAAATATGTGAATCATTAAGACAATTTTTCAAAATATCGGACAACGAATCAGTTTGTACTTGAATGTAAGCATACATTTCAAATATGGTTGCTCTCTCCTAAATTCTGATGGCTGCAACAAACAAAATTCAGGAGCCACGCAGTACGAAATTGAGGTATGAAAAATAATGATGTTTCAATTGCAAATTCGTTTTCAGAGTACAGGTAGGGCCATCTGGAAAATTAACACAAATATTTTTGACCAAATTCTACAGTAAATTGAAAATATTATTCTTCGTTAAAAGTTGTTTTTGTCGCGTGAAATAGACTGAATAGGCGGTTTGAAGCGAACAAAAGGCTGTGCAAAATTTATCTTTGAGAAAAACCTTATAATTTGTAGGCAATACGAGTATAACGATTGGCGGACAAATAGTTTTTATTCACAACTATTGGACATATCGATTTTAAATTTCACTAATAATAATTGAAGAAATCGCTAGGGGGCTAATATTTTTTTTTTTTTTTCAGATTTTTCCCGATTCCTACAAACCCGATATTTTACTACGATTTTTGTAGTTATTGTATTATATTTCTCGGGAACATCTCCATATAACGGTGGCAGTGGATCAATCAATGTTTGAGTTATGCAAAGTTACAAGACTATGTAAAGTGAAAACCACTCAGCGACGTTGTATACGGTTCAATAGTCGGCACTATAGCTAGCCAAGCATGATTTGGGATGGTACAATTGGTTGGAATCAAACGCAATGCAGATTCGAAAATGCTATCACTGTTACACTATTTACTTTTATGTAGTTCACGCCAAAACAATCCGCACCGACATTCCGGAAATAAACTCATATTTATATTGTCTGAAGTAATGAAAAAAATACTTGAATAACCCGAACTTTGCTGAGCTGCAAGGGAAACAATAGAACCAATGAGATTTTATGCTCAGTTCACAAAATACTTCATTGGACCTAACTTCAAAAATTGTTTGATTATGACACTTTTGTTTTTCGCGCGAGATGGGGTGTGAAAAGACTAATGGTCTAAAAACCGACGTGGTCTCGTGGACAATTTGTACCCTCCGTCTCATCTGCCCAATCAAGACGATTTATTACTATAGTGTAATAAAGACATAATACGAGGACGACTATGAACCGGCCCCGCATGACATTTACGTCTTGCCTACTCTACATACTGACGCAAAAAGTTACATGGTATTATAACATTCATTCACAGACTTTTTAAATACATTTATTTTATTTAGGCAAAATATTGCACCTTGTTATAAATTACTTACTGTAGTTTAATACACTAACAGTAGCAATAAGAAAATAAGGCATTACAATATATAAATGACTGTATGACTTCTACAAGAATAAAAAATACTATCGACGTGTTCCAATGATAAGATTCGAACTGAAGATTTTTCAAATTTCAAGTGCAGGCGATCGCACATGTGCAGAGCAGAATCTTATCTCACAGATAGGCCAACCATATTTTGAAGATAGACGATTGATAAATACAATATTTTTATATAAAAATGCTTGACTATTATAACTATGATACGAGACAGTGGGCACAATTGCTCTTCAGAGGTTTTATATTCTTTCTTTATATGAATGTACGTTCTTATTCTTCATAGTGAAGTACATTGAATTGCATTTTTTCTTTAGTTTTCTCTTCATTGATATCGCTACTTTTCGACTTGACACAAGATTTTTTGATGCAGACCACCGTCAAGTACATTTCTCAGTCCACTTAATTTTGGTTTTTGGCCGATTATCAAAACTATTTCTTTTTGACCAATACGATTAGGTCGATTTCGATACCATCTTGGATTTTTCACTCGATCTTCGCTGTTGTATAAATTGAGTTTGTCTCCGAGGTTGCTTAATTCCTATGAGAACAAGGTTTTATAATTACTTTAGATACATTTTGCTCAACTCTGAGATTTTGAGGCAAGGCATCAAATATTATTAGCCAGCACTATTCCTGGTGCTCCAGAAGTATGTGTACTAATATGGAGGTAACTAATTTTGTTTGCCTACTTCACATCAAATTGTATGAACGTAAAGGGACGGAAGCCTATGGGCGGGGGTATATCCACTTGGCTAACACAAACAGTCTCCGAACTCGTAATAGAATTAAAATATAGAAAATCGGAATAAAATTATGGCCTAACCTGGTACACATACTACGGTGGTACCCTATTCCTCAATAGTTAAAACTATTATTGTCTCAGTAAGCTGATTACAGATATCGCAAATAAAGCATCCACACCGTTGGAACAAACGTATGTCATTCATACAAAATCGAAAAAGACTTGGAAAATATGAGCTAATATTAATTGATTTTAAATAAATATTGGTTCTGCTGACTCTATAAGAATTACAAAATTATTATTAGATCTTAAAAAAAATATATGTTACCAAATCATTGGGATTGAAATAGCAACATTTAAAGTAGGCCGATAAAGAAATAGCTATATTTAAATATTGCAGGTAAAATATGCACAAACAGTGAGCTGACTGTTGACTAAAATATGGTGATGGTTGGCATACCTGTTGGTATTTCATTCCAATGAGAAATTGTCCTCTGCTTTTCCGTTTTATTAATGCTTCACGAATGTCATTGTAACACCTTCGGTTATATATGTTCGCCAAATGTCCACCCTCGCGCAAGTTATCGCATTCTCCGTCTGCACCTGGCCATTGTAAAGGTACGGTCCTTTGTATTTGATAATAGCATGCCCCTTTGCAACTTATTAGACAAAATTCTTCCTCCGGTAAAGGTTCTGTAAACGCGTGAAGCAACATTAACGATAATAAATAAAGATATAAGAGTTCAGTTTCCTTGGCGCGCTTTGTGTTCCCGTTGCTATGATGATTTAATAATCCTTTTCATCATTATTTTACTATATCTATTACATAGTATTATATTAATATTAGATTTAATGATGAAGAGAATACAAATTTACTAAACACAAAAGGGTGAACGGAAAAATAGTGAATCACACTGATTTTTCTCAGTCAAAATTTAAGATTTTGGTGACCCGAAAAATATAGAAAAGCCATATAAAATGTCAATCATACAAATAAATACACTTGCCTGGTATAACGAGTCTGTTTCTTTTTCCCTCTGATTTGCCTATAGCAACCATAAGAACTAGAAAACAAGCATTCGGTACTTTCATCTTCGTTATAATAATTTAATGTTTGTGTACCTAAATATCTGTGAAAAAGAAATTTTGGAATATCAACAGGTATTTTCAAAATACATCAGGGACACATAAATTATAAGAAATCTTTTTTAGTGGATAGTAAAGAAACTAATTAGATATATATACGTTTTTTTACGATGCAAATTGTCTTAGACGAATTCTAAAAGAGTAGAATATACTTTTCTGCTGCGAAGCCCTTCCCCATGTACTTTTGTCTATCGTACTGAGCTAACCGCATTGGCTTTTATAGAATCAAATATACGGAGAAATTCCCTCGGCTGTAGTTTGATTGATAGATCCGAGATATACAGGATATCTATTATGACCTGTGAACTACGCAATTAAAATTTATTTCTCACAACATTATACTTTTCATTTATTTACGCAAAGTCACACTCGAGCTTCAATATACAGCGTTTCTGAGCTGACCGCAACTGAAATATAAAGTACGCTAATTTGCACATGATAATTCTGACAAATCAAAAAAATATGGTGGTTTTTTGCATATTTCTATTTCTGTATTGAGTTAATTTTATTACTTTCATTGAGAATATGATGCACGATTTGGAGACTTACCCATAAATGGTAAATGACCAGTCATGACTTCACCTGTTTTGGTTATGTTAAAAATCGAGCTCGTCACATGATATAAAATTCTAAAGTAAACATTACGAAAATAACCCGACAACACCCAATGATGAAACTGATTTACTGTTGTCAGGAGTTCGATCAAGATTGCTCAAATTTAATCAATTTGTCATCTCTCTTCAAGTTGAATATCATTTACTACGCATAAGAATTTATATGTGCAAATGACGTATATAGTATTGGACACCAAATGGACATGGATCGTTCTGCTATTACGTATTTTTTCATTATGAAGGCTATTACGCTTATTTATTTCAAAAATTTTTTGAGCTCTATGGGATTCATATTTTGTGTGCGATGACGTCATCGAAATTGGGCACCTTGTGGTAGTTTCGAAGTAAATAAATATAAATCATATAGTTTACTGAATTTGAACTATAATATACCATTTATTTAAAACGTATCATATTCATAAATTGGATGATGTTATGTATTAAGTTGAGTAAGAACACCATATTGAGCACAATGTCCTGAAACATGTGACCTTACTCTGTTGCCACATCAGATATATAGAATTTGACTTGGACTGGTCATTGTAGCGCCCACGCAATCCACACTTTCTCGCCCAGTAGCAAATGTTCTTTCTAAACTAGGTATCTGCATAATACTAACACGGGAAAATTATTTTGCGCCTAAACTACTCCGTTTACAATCAAATGTTTTATCCCGTTTTTTCCTATGCACGAACCTGTTCCCTTTTTAATATTATTCTTGATTACCACTAGTTAGTTAGCAATATTACGCACCTGCTTGCACGCTGTATATGCAGTGTTGTTTGCAATTGTAATATTTCTCGCTTTGTACTGGAACGGAAACTATCATGTTTTCAATTATCCGCATTTTTACGTTATGACGTTCGAATTTGAAACGTCATGGCAACCACGAAAAAATACCTTGGAACTAAGCCATTCCAACTCTTCAACATGTTGAATTACTGTCAATATTGTTTTTGTTGAACATCGAAAACGTATTTTAAACGACATCTTAATCTGCTGAGACCACACGAATTCAACCTGTCTTTGATTAACTCCTGTGTTTTGCGACTCATGTCCCATTCAACTGCTTTGGTCAATTCAATTCACTTCGAACATTTTTTTTTAATTTAGTATTTCTTTATTTAAAAGTTCTAGGCTAGAATTTATTGAAGATTATATAGTTCGCATATAGCAAAATAGCATGTGTTAAATGAATTACATTATAATGCACATAACAATAAATAATATGAATATACACACACAAATGTATGACAGGGAACAACTTGCTTCAGTCGTGACAGCAATAATTTTCAAAAACGATAAATAAATATCCGAAAAATAAGCATGTTAGTTAAGTGATGTAATCAAAACTTTAACTATATATTTATACAATGTTGTCACTCTCGTTTACTTGATGAATAACATAGGAAAAAAATGTTTTTAAATTATAAGTTATCTTACTGTGATAATGAAATAAATAAAGCATCATACGGGGTGCTATTGCTTGAACCATATCGAAACAAAACAGATTTCGTTACCTTCAAAGCTAATGGAAAAAATGAGTGAAACGCTTTATAAAAAGCGGTCAAAAATACTTTCATATTTTAGATCAATAGAATGTGTTATTCCCGAAAGTAATAACACTTCTCAAAAGTATTTTTTATTTAACACGGACGGCACTGGGATAACCTATGAATCAAGCCATTAAATATGTTGGGCACAGTACTATTTTACATAAAACCAAAAAAAAAAGTGAACAATGCAATAGATTCGATATGCAGGAGATGGTCGATTTAAATTAACTGCAGAATGCTCGTTAATTTGATATTTTCGACAACACGGCTGCACAACAGCATCAATATTATTCCTATTTCTTTTGTATTTCGCACAAAATTTGTGTGTGTTTTGATTCGTCGAGGACGTTTCTCATCCCACTAAATTTCGTGTTTTGACCGACGAGCAAAGTCATTTCTGTTTGTCCAATTCGGTTGGGTCTTCGTCGGTACCACTTAGGAACAGTAATTTGTTTTTTACTCCTGAAGAGATTGATTTTGTTGCTTGGATTGTTTGCTGCCTGCAATAATGTAATATGAATATTACATCAACTTTGTTACAATATTGTCAACTCACACTAATTTTATAATGTTTACATTCGCATTGAAAAATTGAGGTAAATAAGCTTTATTCATACATAATAACATCCACTTTTTCCATTGTTTTTAACATATTATGACATGAAAATTAATTAGGAATATTTTAATTGGGAATTGGACATGTTTCATACATTTCGTCAACTTGGATCGGTTAAGATTTTAGAGATGAGATTAATGACTTTACAGTCGTTTTATTTAGAATTAGTTTTTTCGATCATTTGTGTCAAAATTTAACCATTATATCATACCTTGAAAAATTTCATTCCAATCAAAATTTCGCCTCTGCTGCGAACTTGAACCAGGTGTGCCCGAATTTCCGTGTAACATTCATAATTGTAAATATTGGCAAGATGGCCATTTTCTTGTAGTTTTTCACATTCGTCATTGGCGCCAGACCATTCATATGGCACAATGCGTTTAATTTGATAATAACAAGATCCTTTGCAACTCAACGGACAGAACTCATCAGCTGGGAGAGCAACTAGAAGAGATTAGATTGAAGCGCATAAATTAGTGAATGCGTTGATAATAAACAAATTATGAAAATTGCCTTATTATATTATTATGATTCATATACGCATTTACAATATATGCTAATAATAGAGCATAGTTAATATTTACCTGCTGGAAACACATTTCTCAGAGACGATGCTGAAGTGACTGATATGAAGAACGTCAATATTACAAATATCAAACTTGATATCATCTTCATATTTTTTTATTCAGATACGGCTTATTAAAATAGTATTTATATTAATAGTTTGTTCTGAAAATTAATTAAATAACAGGTGAACAGGTGTATATTTCGGGTAAACACAATGAAGCCCACAAAATACAACAATCTACGTACTTACAGAACCGGTTTACATTAAACCAACACAAACGGGAATTTCGCGTTGCAGGGATTAAGTTATGAAACACATTTCCATTACAAATCAAACTCAACTATATTTAAGCGCTGTCCATCGTCTGATGCTTTTAAAGAAATTTTCACAATCTAATTTCTTCCCAATGATTTCGGTGTGTAATTTCCTTTATAATAAAAAAATTTGTTGCTATTTCAGTATTTATTAAATCTCCTTGCACAAACGAAAAAGTTACAACAATTGAACAATTATGTTTTGATCGTGTTTCCAACATTCGGATATGAGATACTACGTGAGGCATGGAGCGTTGCATTTCTTCCTACATTGATTGTTTACACCTAAGACAAATCTTCCTTAACATAGAATTGTTTTATCGTAAACATCTCATTGTCACATTTTAAAATGTTCTAAAGCAAAGCTACGTGACTGGAGTCAGTTTTCAATGAATTAAAATTCTACAAAGATATTTATCTGTCCTTCACTGATCAATACAAATAAGCTGAAAATTTCGAAAATATCAACAAACCATTAATTCAAACAATGCCCAACACTAAGTGAAGAAATGCGTGATGGCACGATACGGGCCTCGTCAAAAATTCGGAAATTAGTATTACGAATGTTGATAGACACGTCTGATAAATTGCTGATATGAACAGAAGCGCATTTTAATAGTATTGAATCGCAATGCCTTGCAACTCATTCCACATCCAAGACTCATATTGGTAGTCAGCCAATTCCACTTTGAATGAGTTGTCCTGACAAGGTCCAACATGCAACATGTCTTACTTACCATTTATCAAGACATGTGAATTAGTTCACCACAGTGCAGCGCATTTATAGAGATTCGACAAACATGCGGCGAATGATTTGAGCCATACAAGGAATTTTCTCGCACTTTTGTGGCAAGCAACCACTCACGCATTCCAAAAAAAAAAACTAGCGGTAGCTTGTGAAATTATGGGAGAGCATTGTTTTTCACCTGTTATGAATAATAAAAAAATATCGATCATTTTCACAAAAACATAGTTCGAACTACTATATACTAAAGATAGTTTTTGGTTTCAGTTAGTTGAATATGACTCAGAGTTAGGCATTACCATGGCGTCATCACAAGCCTGAATATAAAACGTAAACTTTCAACTTCTATGTTGACGTAGAATCAATTTGAATCTTATAAACATGTTTACCTTTTTATATTAAATGCAATATTTTCAAGCTGTGTACATCGTCCAAATTTTTATATAATTTTATTAGCATATAATTTGGCTTCGAATGAAAATTTATAAAATTCTCTTTAATATTTATTACTCAATACCATTATGACACAATATTGCGATGACTTTTAATATTATTATGGGTAATAAAAATTGCGAATAGATTTTTCATGTAATGGGTGTGACGTGGGTTCGGTTGATAATATCAATAATAATAATAATATGATATAAAAATGAATCGTAAAATATAAAGAATTTTGTGTGATTCTATACTGACGTAATTAGTTTATATTTACTTTACAATAAAGTTGAGTTTCAACTGTACTTCCATCACTTGCACATTGCAAAGATTTTGAAGATTTGAATAATCTATTGCACTTTAACTTTATCAAACTTTGGAAACACAAGATCCTTCAGATATTGTGTCTCATAAATGTATGACATTGGGAGAAACTGTTATCAAAATAAACGATCGCATTTAGTGAAGCATGATACATCAAACTGAATATTTTCTCCCGTATACGCGTAAAATTGGCATTTATGCACTCATTCTGTGCAGTCATTTTCATTGCTATATTAGTAATAAATGGATAAAGTACTATAATTTATTTCTGTAATTTTTGCTGAAGTATTAATCAATGTATGACTTTTTTATGTTGGAAAAAAGGACAAATGTATAAACAAACTTGGTCAGTGGTTTACAATGATTCGCTATTATTAAATGAGGTTTCGATTCGATTAAAAAAAGTGGTAATCATGACGATTTATTAATCCATTAATCAACCTAGTATAATTTCTATTACAAAAGGTACATTACATTTGATTGACGTCTGTATTAAGTATTTATAGCTTATCCGAAACCAATCTAAGTGGGTTTTTAATAAATTAAATATGCTGAAGTCAGTTTGTTTTGCTTTATTGGTATAAAGCAATCGGTTAATATATTACCATCAAACTTTTTTAATAAATACCAAAATTACGTTTCAATTTACTAAAATGTAATAGAATAAATAAATCAATAAAATTGAGAAAACAATAATCAGAATATTGAGAGATACGAGTTATTACATAATCATGTGTGACCTTTCCGTTAGGTCAGCCATTTCAGCTATCATAAATCAAATGTTTTCAACCATGAATCAAATTGATTTAGTGCCATCGTCAACATGAAATGACTGTCTCGTGCCAAAGCGCATCCTAAAGTAATTAAACAATGCTGTAAGTGTATTTGATCGACACACAATTTTTTAACGATCGAAATAAATGGTATTGATAATTATAGTTATACTGTGACATTTACAGAAAAGGTATCTCCACGCGTTTATAACATGCGATATTCATGCTTTGTAAAGTAACAGATAATTAATTAATTTTTTCAATAGTATGTACCGATTTCACCGCGTATTTTCAATACGAAGAATTGCAAGATGTTATTTAATTTCGGGTTGAATTGCGTGAAATGAAAGACGAATCTTCAGTATTGTTATTGAAATTGTTTCTATCTGTAGACATGATTGAAACCACAGCTTACAAGTTGTTTACCCCGAAGGCCTGACTTAATTAGATGTATCTAAATTAATCTCGAAATCTTTCGATATTTGTGAATCAAAAAGCAGAATATAATCTTTTGGTTGCACGAAGTAATAAACTTTCGTTGTACCCTAAATAACATTTGGTGAATTAATCGGATTTCCGAGCAATAAAGAGACGTTTGTTGACTATAACCAGGGCTGCCATAACGTCCTTATTTCTAAGATTTATCCTTATTTCGAAAGTCTTTGTCTTAGAAATTAATTTTGTGTTTATTTCTAATAAACGTCCTTATATTGACATGTGCCCTTATTTTATGAGTGAAGGGTTCTTATACCTGGCACTTAGATCGGTCAATTCGAATGATTGATTTGCTAGAAATGCTATTTTACAACCTCATTGTTTGCTACGCGCTCTCATTACATAATAACAGCAAATTAATTGACACAATGACAAAACAATAGCCTACCGGCAAAAATCAGTTTGTGTAACTTGAAATCAAAACTGAGATAGAACAGATAGTTTCTATGAATAAAGAACTGCTGGAGCAAATCCTTTATAGTGCAAAGTATGATTTAAGATGAGTCGCACTGGCATGATCACATTTTGTTTATAACATTTCGTTCTTTGTTATTCTATTATTATGTTTCCCTGATGTCCTTATTTTTGGGTTCATATCGATGGCAACCCTGGCTATAACCCTAACCCATTTATTTTTGAGATGAGTGCATGTGAAATTTGCCTTTTTCAATTATGCGAAAATTTATATAAATTTCAAGTGAAGATAGGATATTAATATGTGAAAATGCTATTTTGGGGAACACGGGTCACAATCACAAATTAATCAAAATTTATTTGCTTTCAAACTGATGTGTTACGTTTGGATTGCTTTTTAAGTCTAAAACGTTCCAGGAGATGTACAAAACTTGGTGACTAACATAGCCTACGAAATTTACACCTGTAGGGAAAAGTTGCTACACACTGACTGTATCTTAACACACGGTTGTTCGAGTGAAATTTTGTTATTAGGACACGCAGCTTGCCGTGCATTCTGAAATGACCTAAACTTCCAGATTGTGAAGCATCTTTTCGTTTAAACGTATTCTTGTTGCATTGATAAATAAACTATTGACTAACCTATCTTTTTAAACAATATTTACCAATCATAACAACAGTTTAATAAATAGTTGAACAGATAGAATAAATATTAATTAAACGAATTATAATAGCGTAAAAAGTTATTTTCAAAATCATCAATGTATGTATTCCTCTTCCCTAGACTTACTTCAAATTGTATTTTCAAGATATCTAAAGCGTTGCATTCGTAGGAGCAAACTGTCATCATAATCTTGACCTTGCATACTGAAATTGTAAGACTATCGCTTTTTATATAGGGATGTTCGATTTGAAAATTTATTTTTGGATCATTAAAGTCAGAATGAGATATTATTAAGTACACGGTTATTGATTGATATTATGAGGAGACAATGTTCTGACGACAAGTAATTTGTCACTATCATGTGCTTTCTAATGAAATAATTTTGTATTCCAGTGATCAAAATCGATTACCCCAAAGGCATTATATTAAATATGGCAAAAATTGCCAGGCGAAGCAAACTCATATAATTGCATGCTTTTTTGAATTCTGTTATATGTTAAGTTTTTAAAATTGAAATTTTATTGAATATTGTTTTGTTTGGCAATCGATTCACCGAGATGGTAAAATAAACTAATGGTTGTGTCTTTTCAGACTACAAGAGAGTCTTTAAATTTGACAATGATAACGAAAATACATATAAGTTCAGAACTTCAGAGAAATCATCCGAATGCTCATTATGATAACAAATATTATTGTTACACTCATAGTTTCCAAAAATATTCTTTAATGGCGGGAAATCAGGGAGGCGTTAATTCATCATTTACTTATTGTTATACCACCATAGATCATGCATATCTGGCAATGAACAATCAGGTGTGATGTAACTTTTTACTCCTCGGGCTATGTAGAAATGGGGAGGGGGGGGGGGGGGGGTAAAGTAAACGACTCTAGTTTGTCTCGATATTCACTGCAATGCTGCTGTGAATTAACTGGACAAAACGACTGCCCAATCGTGACATTACAAAAAATAAAGCACGTCACGTTTATTCTACAATTTAACAAGACAAAG